CGCTCACCCGCGGGGTTCGGGGTGGCCGCCGCGCCAGCCGCCGCCCCGAAGTTGAAAGCCATGAGGCGAGCAAGGGAAGGAACAGCTGCGCCCACCGCCAGGAGAGTCCGTCGCTCCGGTTCGTCCGGGTGGAAACGCGAACCTCCAAGGGAAAGCGAAGAGCGGGGGCGTAGAGATAGGAAAAATAATAGAAAAGCAGACCGTTTTAAATAGGCCCATAAAGGTTTTTTTTAAATTACAGTATTTAATTTTTCGATCAATGATTTCAATTGGCCGCAGCTCAAGATTTGTCTCTGCACTGAAAGTCCTCGCGGCGCGTTACTCTTAAAGGTAAGGCGGATTCCTCTCATATGTATTAAGTCCGTGTTGGATCTACATCTTTCTAGCTCTACGGTAGAAGGCGGTTCCTCCACCCGGACGTTAAAAGGAGGAGGACCACTCTGGACTCGATTGCCGGGCAACGGGGCGGAAACAGATGTGGCGCTCGCTGGTGACGTTTAAAGTGCGTCTAAAGATAGGAGAGTTGATAACTTTTGTCAATTCCTAGACAAGCTCATTTGAGGGCCTGACTTCAGCAATAGCATGGCGAGGTGGAAGTGCGTTCTGCCCCCTAACCGACGTGAAGAGCATGTGCTTACCTATATTTGCGTGTTGATTTGTATGGCGCTTTTGGCATCGTTTTCGGACAGGGAGAACATAGATATGAGTACAAAATATTAAATGCACAATATGGTGTAATAAGATGCTGGCCAGTGCCTTCTCATCAGAAGCACTGGAGGAGAGCCATTTCAATTCACTCTCTCAAAAGAAGATTGAGGGGAGGTATGATAGCACTTTTCAAATATCTGAAAGGCTGTCATACAGAGGAGGGGCAGGATCTGTTCTCGGTCATCCCAGAGTGCAGGATATGTAAGAATAGGCTCAAGCTATGGGAAGCCAGAGTTAGGCTGAATATCAGGAAAAACTTCCTGTTAAAGTAGTAAAACAATTGAACCAACCAAGAGGGCTATAATGCTGGATCAAGAAAAAATTGGACAACCATTTATCAGATCTGCTTCGATATGGATTCCTGCACTGAGCGGGGGGTTGGACCCGATGGCTTTATAGGCCCCTTTCAAACTCCATTTATCCTATGACTCTCATGCCTGGACAACCATCTTACATGTCTGACCAAAAGGTGTATCTAAAAGCATGCCTTCCTCCAGCCCAAAAAAACCCCCCAAAACTTTACCTGTAAAAATCTGCCATCTGACCCAAAGGCCTCACTTTTCTAGCAGTAGGAAATATAGACCTGACATAATTTTTTACATATGGAAGGCCCCCAAAATAGATGGCATAGTGTTCTTTGAGAGAAACGTAGGCTGCAGTAGATAATGAAAGGACAAGACAAGGAAATTACAACAAAAAAGCAGTTTAATTTTGATATTCCACATTAAAGGACAACGTTCAGTGATCTGACACAGCCTGTTTCATTTGTTATATATATATTTAAGTGTTACGTGCGAAAAACACACCTACATTCTTTCAACTCCAGAAGAGCTACCCTGATTGACCCAGGACTGTTTCCTTCCATTAAACAAATGACATTTTTTAAATAGTTAATTGCCATTTAATAATACACTTCCCTTTTTTATATTATAATGCCCTTAATAGAGCGTCTTTGCCAAGTTCACACCCGTTAGTCTTAGGAAAGCTACTACTGCAATACAGAACTGAAAAATGATCTTCTTATAGTAAAGATTAGAAAAGTTATCCGTGCAAACAGCTCTTTGAACAACGAAGTAAGTATTGTATTAGAAACATTCTTTTCTTTCTAGAGCACATGCAAACCCCTTACGTAGACCAAACGAAGTCTAGGAGGAAGTGGCAGAACCAGTCCAGCGTTAACCGACTGCAGCTTGCACCTCGGAGCTTGCGGTTCGACATCCAACCAGCTAAACCAGTGCTGCCCGCACCATGTCATGAAGCGGTTTACAAATTTAAACCCTACTCCCTCCAAAAGGAATCTAGAAGTCAATTGTGTATGTATGCGCTGTTCAAGCAGCTTCTGGTTTATGGCAAGCTAGACAGAGTGGTCTACCAAGGCCACCACTCCCTGAGCGAGGATTTGAACCTGGGTACTCTTAGTCTTAGTTCAATACTTGATCCACTGCATTGCTGCGGCTTTTGGAAGTCATATAAGTTCCTCAAAAATAATACTGGAAATAGCAGATTCGTAGTGGCAACGGCAATGGCTCTGAAAGAATTTCACAGCACTATTAGCAGAATTAAGCGCTTACAGATGTTAACTTCTCATCTCCAGATCAAAACAGAAAGAAATGCTAGGAAAAGGGGAGAGAGAATAACAACGGGTGAACAGGTCCTAAAGCCATCATTTCGGCTCTTCAGCCAACTCTGCAGGAGCCCACAGCAAGCAGCTTGCTCAGCTTATTGTTTACCTCGGGGGTCACCAGATTTACTTATTTGTCTCTTGTTGCATTAGACCAGTGGCTCCCAGTTGTTCTTCTATTGCAAGTCCCAGAAACCCCGGCCAGCACAATTGATGGTGAAGGCTTCTACATAGGAGTTGCAGTCCAAGAACACCTGAGCTACCCAAGGTTGGGAACCACTGCAAGGAACCCTGAGCTTCACCGAAAACATACACATTCAGAAGGAAAGAACCTGGTCCCTCAGAGAAGGTTCTGCGCTCTACCGAATTATCCTCCGTACCTGAAATAAACTGGGCTCACAGTCCCACTCCTGGCTTTTGCTTCAAGGTTTCTTCCCCTCGGCAATCTAACTTAAGATGGGAAAAGTCATCTTTTTACTGTTGTTAAACCACCAAGGATCAAAAAATCCCTGCAGACTTATTGCAAATCACCCTGAGATCCCCCAGTAGATCCAGGTCTACGTTCTCTGCACCGCTGAGTCACATGATGAAATGCAAACAACAAAATTACATGCTAGGGGAACCTTTCTGAGGGCTCAGATCAGTTTTCCTGTATCTCCTCTTCAGAAAGTAAAGGGGTTGGTACTGTGTTCCACCTCTCTGCTCTGGCCAGCCATCACTACTGCCCTAGGCAAGAATCATCCTGTCTAGCAGAAATGGAGAATCTGCGACCCTTCTCTCCTCATCTCTAGGGCAGCACAACCAATACTGAGGATTGCTAAGAGTCAGGCAGCCCAACATCTGGAGGTAACACATTCCCCACTTCTCCCATACTAGATAAAAGCAGCCCAGAAACTTACTCTATCTGATCGTTTTTATACCTGGAAACAGAACTGCTAGATAGCATCAAAGGCTTTTTTTCTTTTCTCCCCCTGTTGCCCTTTTTTTTGTTTTTTGTTTTTGTTCTGGATTCTTTTGCTATTGTCGGTTCAGATTGTATAAAATACTAGAAGGTACTTTACCAATATCCTACGAAAAGAGGTACATTTATCGGTAATAATATTTCAATTTTTTTGTTTCAATTTACTTTTCATAACTTTGTACTTGTAAATATAGATATTAACCAAAATCCTGTTGTGTAGCTATGCCAGCGGAAGGGAAATGGCATAACCTGGAGCTGCTAGTTAACGAGTCCCCATCTGGATGCCTGGTTGTGGACTAAGCAGCCCAATTGGTGTGCGCTGAGAAATCCAAGCGGGGACTTGTTAATTAGCAGCAGTTTGATTTTGGCCATTAATGCAAACAGTCTCCCTGCTACAGTCTAGTTATTTTTAAACGTTACTGTGACATCATTGTTAAAAATCTAAACAATGTCAATACTAAGGTATTAATTTTCTGATGTTACCAGGTAATTAATCTGCAGAAACATCCAACGAAGTAAATCATGTTGCATCTCTCTGTACAGGTGCAGCCTCCCTGCCAAGCATTGTTCCATCCATGTCTGAGCATTGAGGGAAACACCTTTCTCTTATCTAGAGATATGGGGACTGAGCAGAACCTAGTTTAGAAGATATTAAGGTCTTCCCATAGAAATGTAATGTATTTAATTGTATTTAATATACTGAATCCATCACCACAATATCTTGAAAGCCACAGGCTTTTGCAACTTAAAAATAGCTTAGAACAATTTCTGGAATATATATTTACAAGTAAGTAATGATGACTGTGCTACCTAAATAGAACCTCCACTTTAAGAAGATGAACGTAAACAGAGTGTGGGGATTTTTGTTTTTCAGATAACCACTTTCCTGGACAGCACAGCTACTGCTAAACACACAGAACACTTGTGGAAACAGAAAAGGGCAGTAGCTTCTTCTTTGATCCCATCCAACCAAGCCATTTCTTACAATCCATTCAATGGCCCTGTACACACACGCACCCCTTCTGAAATTAAGTTAAGCGATCATTCTTGATGAATATTTTGTAGATTTAAAACAATAGAAATTAACCAACCACTCTAAAACAGACGTGGAGAAAACTCTCCAAGTGCAACTTCTACTGATCGTGACTTTTCCAGTGAGATGGGAAGGGTTGGTGATGAAGAAAATATGGGAAACAGGCAGCAGATGAATTCAAGCAATATTGGAAGCAGCACATCTGGCATGAGAAATGGGAAGCCGTGGATACACTTGCAGCTTTCACTCTTTACTGAGTAACCCCTATACCCATCAAAGTGTGAGCTGGACCTTTCAAAGCAGATACACATAATTGTTAATGAAGGTACAGGTTTGTTTCCCTATGGCCTTTCCTGGTCAAGTTAGTAAATATAAGCGGATCTGATCTAGAAGACTGGATTCCCACTTATTCTGTCCAGTACTGGAACCCCGTAATAGGATCCTTTTCTTTTCTAACATGTACATACTAAGATGTTAGATTAGGAGTGAGTCATCTCAGTGAGTAATCTTTCAGATTTGCCAGCAGTCCGGGGACTGCATTCCTGGAGGGGGTGGGGCTAAAGGGAAGGGGCGTGGCCAAAGAGGCAAGCTGCCACATTTAATTGAGCAGTTAAGGGTTGTGGGTCTTTCACCAGATGCTTTTGCTTCCGGTGCCTCCAACTCCCCATGCCGACCTCTCCTCTCTGACCTGTCTCACACTGTGCCACACAATAATGAATTTGGATTGTTGTTGTGGAAAAGGTAGTGGAAAATTAGCAAAGGGTCTAAGTGTAATAATCCTTGGGGGAGAAACTGGAATCCACCTCTGTTGCTTTCAAAAGGGGAAACATAAAATGTTGAATACACCAGAGACACTGTACCCAGTTAGAAGTAAAGAGTACAGAAGGACAGGCCCATATTACGTAATCCTAAAAAAATTAAAAAGGGTCATTGTGACTGACATGTGCTCTTACGGCCTTTCGTGCAAGCAAACCCAACTGACCTAGAAAAGACCATAACTATCTCTATGGTTAAATCAGTGGAAAAGCCCCACTGCTTTACAAGTACATTAAAACACTGCATTCTGCGCTTGTTGAAGACAATGGGAAATTGTCTTTAAAACAAGTCTTTTTGTTAGAAGAAAGCAGTCATGTTTCCACTTCCACATTCAGTGCAACAGTCCCAAATTGCAATCTCTTTCCTGAATTCTGCCAATAAAGAAGAGCATATAGTAGTGTGATTTTGTGAGTCAGCTGAGCTTGTTGGGTAGTGTTTTGGTTAAGAGCAGTTTGCATAGTCCAGTCACCCCTCAGCACATTTCTAAGAAGCTGTGTCGCTAGAGAGATGCAGTCAAGATGTCCGGATGAGTGGGGCTCTCTCATCTTCAGAACCCTGCAATGAGAAAAAGCTGCTTTAGGGGGGACATGGCTCGTTAAAACATATGAGACGAGAGAGGAAGGACAAAAACAGAATTATTTGTCTATCCACAGGAATGCAATCAGGCAAACACAAAAGAAAAATAAAGAAGACAAAAACACAGTGGCACCTTAAAGACTGACTGCTATATGTGAACTTTTGTGGACAGATCCACTTGTCCATTGTAATCTTGACCATTAACAACGTGTCAATCCAAACCCACAGACAAATATATCCTGCCTCCATTTACACTATAAATTAGAAGTGTGAAGGTCCGTGTTTCTGGATTCCTAAAAACCCAAATTTGTACATCACTGCTAGTATACTACTGGAAGTGCCACGGCTTCCCTCCAAAGAAATCCAAAAATTCTTTGCTGGACATGTTCATTGTTAGAAGTTCCCAAGAAATAAAAAGGTTCCCAACTCAACAAAACTACAAAGTAAATGTTACTTAATTTCTCCCCCTGGTTTTTCCATCTTGAATTATGTTTGCTTGTTTTATTGATGTTTTAAATTGTATTGCCTTTTTTGGATTGTAAACCGCCTAGAGTAGATTTATCTAGATGGGTGGTATAAAAGCCAAATAAATAAATAATAAAACAAATCATCAAATCACTCAATACTGCAGATACACAAATTAGGTTTGGCACTCGCAGGAAGCATCCTGAGGTGTCTGCATGAGCATATATATTTGCTACCTGCTTACAGATCTATATCTGAAAAAAATTACGTGTCTTGACTGGGACTGATCCACATAGTGGAAATTTTATCATTTCAGACTGTAGGTGAGGGATCATACGTGTGAATGTCCTATGGTGTCAATATCTCCTTATTTGTGAAAAATACACACATCAAGGGATAATTTAAAGCTTAGCCATTTCCCAGTAATCCCTTCCCTAGGGGGAGGGATTACTGTATCCCCTCTTCCTCACTTCCATCCTTGTCATTTCACCTAGAAATATGAAAGTATGTCAAAATCACAACTCAAGTAGACAAAGAGCCAGTATAATGTAGTGGTCATTGTGTTAAACAAGAACTATGGAGACCAGGGTTCACATCTCTGCTTTGGGCCTACCTTGCAGGACTGTTGGGAGAATAAAGCAAGAATTACACTGCCTTGAGGTCAGTGCAGGAAAGATGGAACAGAAATGAATCCAACTCACTTATTGGTTCCAACTCAACCCCAGATTTTGGGCAAGGCTTGGAGAAAAGATTCATGTTAAACCCAGTTCCCACTCTTCTAAAAGGGGAATTGTACTAATGTAGTTCATCATGGGGAAGCATCTTTACTAAGGTCTTCTGTTCTTTTTGAAAATGCTATATTAAAAAAAACCCAATGAAGCACATAAAAACAGTAGTAACAGAGAGAAAAGAAAAAAAACTTGTAGAATTCTCTGGTATTATCTGCTCCCTAAAAGTATCCCCTTAAGCTGTTTCTGCAAGAATTTTTTTCTTGAGTTGGGTGAGCACCACTTCTGTTTCTCTTCCAACCCAACCTACTTCCCCGTTTTCATTTGAGTTAACTTTCTATGAGCTCCTTAAAGGAAGGGCAGATTAAAATGCAATCGAGAATAATGTCAATTATCTGCTTAAAGAGAGCTAGCTGCACAATTTAAGAAAATAAGGAAAACATAGTTCAGAGGAAGAAGGAAAGCACATTTCCCTTGATGTTTCAGATGGTGCATTACACAAGAGACATCATAATAATCATCATCTCAGAACCTAAGCGCTAGAATGGACCATCGCGTCCAGCCACTGTCCAGAAGGCACAGTGAGGAAACAAACTCCCAGTTTTTGGAATACCTCCTTTTCTATGCCATTACATGAGTGAAAGCCTTTTCTAGGATATCAACTGTTCTCTACTTATTATTTGGAAGTATCTTTATTAAGAATAACAATCTGAATTCATATCTGGGGCCTAGTCAATTTTAGTTGATCAAAATGTTTTATAAATTCATCTAACCCACTGACGAAATGCCGAAGCCCTAAACTAGAGAAGTGGCATGGTCTGGATCCAAGAGGGCATAAACAGGGCAATTTTAGTCTTAAGGCTGGTTCACAGGAAGACATTCATGCTTGAAACAAACCTGTAAATGATCCCCATTAAAGAGAGTACCACATTTGAACTGGTACTAGGTGAAAGATCCACCTGTCAGCACTTATCAACACCAGTTTTTTAGACTTTGACTCCCAGAAGGCTCCAGTTAGCAATTCAAAAAAGTAACATTACTGAGACCTAAAAGACATCAAGGGATGAATGCGCATGTGTGGAACAGCCCTTAAATGTCAGAGTTTACTAGCCAGGTTTTGCTTTGGCACTAAAGTTTGCAGCTAGTAAAAAGCATCGGGAAAGAGAAAGATTTCACTCGTCTTACCCTCCGTCTCAAGCCAGCAGTAGAACTTTGCTGAGATGCCCTTACTCTGCATCTACTAACACGTCTCTCTCCTAGAATGAGTATTTCAGAAGAGACAGAAAGAAAGAAAACAGGGAGAGGAATAAAATGAAATGGGGAGAAAAAAAGCATTCCGGCAACAATACGAAATGAAAAGTAAGGTGATTGAAAAAGCAAATTATAAAGGGAATGGGTGGTGTTGTTTTTTTTTTAAAAAAAAAATCAACAAAACGTTGGCGGGAGAAGCACCTTTAAATGCACACTTACCTCCTCCCCCGGTCGCAAGGGTTTGCAGGCAAGCCCAACAAATACGACTCCAAAAATAATTCCTAGCACCATGATGATAAAAGGAATATTGGCGATTGCAGAGGATTCGAGAAGAATCGCCTTCAGTTTCTGTGCAGACGCTTTGTCCAGTGTAACGCTCTGAAAGAAGAAGGGGAACACTCCAATTTAGACTAGCAAAGTAAATCACAAACCTTTGGAGACCTACAGTCTGATTACTCTTAAAAGAACCTTGTAGGTGTCAGTGATCCATATCCTAACGAACGGGACCTATTGCAGAGTCAATTCCTATGAACACTGAATGCCGCCTGGTGCAAATAAAAACAATCCTGTTATTCAATGGTGACAACCAACCCTATGCCTCTTTACACAAAAGTAATTCCTGCTGAGTTCTGCAGAAGTTATTCCTAGTTAAGCGAGCACAGGTTGAATGCCTAAAGGATGAAGAAAAGGGGCACCCATGTTTTAATCACGTGAGCCTAAATCCTGTTGCTTGGTATACTAAGTTGCACTAGAGTAGACCCACTGAATCAACAGGATCTAGTGAGCCAATTCCTCCAAACATTCCATTGATTCAAATGGGCCTACTCTAAATGCAACTTACTTTAAGCATAGTGAGTTGCAATTAGAGTCGACACATTTGAATCAATGGTACTAACCGAGGAGTTAACTCCCTAAATCTCCACTGAGTCAACGGACATACTCTAGTGCAATCTACTACACTAGGCAACAGGATTTTGATCATTCTTGTCTTGACTACTGCAACGCACTCTACTCAGAGACACCTATGAAGAGGATCCAGAATCTTCGTGTAGTAGCTGGACTGATTGCTATTGCATTTAACCAGAACATATGATCTCCATGCTGAAACAACCGCATAGGGACTGCCAATTGCTTACTGGGTCCAATTCAAGGTATTGATTTTAAACGTTAAAGCCCTAAATGACTTGGGCCTTGGCTGTTTGAGGGACTACCAGTCTTGCTATGAATCTTTCAAGATCTTAAGGATCCTTTTGATAATACCAGCACTTGCTTAATGGGCCTGCATGAAAGGGTTTTCTCCTGTGTTCCTCCCAGACTATGAAACACATTCCCCTTGCAATCTGTTCCCACTCTTGCTATTTATTAATTTTTTTAGCAAAGATGAAAACACATCCTTTTGAACTAGCTTGCGAAACACTTAATTAACCCTGACGTTTTAACAATCAGTTTGAAAATTAAACTGACAATGTTAAATACTTGTAGGGAATACATGGCCTTTCCCCCCAATTACATTCCACCAGTCACGACAACAGATATTTTACTAATGGCAAAAAATAAAAAATAAAAAATTAATGCACAGCACAAAAAAGTGATGTACGTCACTTTCTTTCGCCTTGTCCAAGTGTCCCTATTAGCAGCAGAAGTATTTTGCAAATCCTTACCTCATTTACATACATTACAGGGAAATACATTGTTCTGATGTTGCCCGTTTGGCTAAAAGAAGATGAAAGAATAGTTTCAGGAATTGGTATTTCACACACTGAACTCATAATGCAAGATGTTAACTGCTTCACCAGCAGGTCATTAATTAATTAAAATTATACCAATTGCCCAATAACAATGCTGTCTTGCACAGCTCCCAAGATAAAGTAGTGAAAAAATACAATTAAATAAATATGCAGTACATTTCTCCCTTCAACAATGCCGGGATTAGGGGCACCGGACCCCTGTGTAGTTTGAAATCTGCATATTAATCTTGTGCCCCTCACTATGTAATTACAAAGCATGCACACATACAGAACAGTTCTTTTTATTGGGGTGCTCTTCCATAGCACTGATAATCCTTTCCATACAGCACTGTGTGTCATGCGCTTAAAGGTCCTTATGACCCCCTGACCTAGAGGCTAAATTAGAGAAGTTGTGTTTGGGGACAAGTAGACCCCCTTTGATGCTTTCAGTGTTGAACTCATGGGGTTCTGGGTGGCCGCCAGGGGCACGATATTAATCTGTTGAAAAAAGCCTTTGCATAACCAAAACCTTGCTGTTCACGCCCATTCAATTCAATGGAGAATTGTATTATAAAATAACAAGTTTGCACACACCAAGAATAGAAGCAGGTAATAAAGTAATGCACTGTACATGAACTGGAGCACAGAACACTAAAATTACATTTTTAAAAAATGCCTGGGAAAATAGATTGGCGTTGACACGGTGCCAAAAAACACACAAAGAAAGCGCCAAGCTAGAATCTGTGAGGACCATGTTCTCATATAGAAGAATGCTTTTGCCCTCTTGTCCTGCTAAGGAGCTTCTAAAAGGCAGGCAGCAGTGTGAGCTGAATGCAGGACCAGCAGCTTAAGTTGTGGGTCTGGCTTTAGCATTGCTCTTCTCAGGCTCTTATAAAAATGACTCTGCTCAGGAGTCCCAGCCCTCCCGAGGCCTTTAATGTATTTTAAGCTTCAAACTGCACTTTTAATTGGCCCCTGAAACCGAATGGGGAGCCAGTGCAAATGAACCAGGCAGTTCTACTGATGAAGAGTTTCTGAAGTAATTTCAAAGATAGCCTCAGGTACAACACGTTGCATCAGTCGAAATGGAAGAGAGGACGTGGGTACATAATCAGAGCCATCAATGGCCACGTTGCCTGGGGAATTCTGGGAACTGCAGTCCAGAAACACAAGTTCTAAGCTCTGACCAAAACACTGATACCAGTCAGCACCCTCTCCTCATACTCTGAATTGGGTTGCTGACAAATGTAACCACTTGCCATATATGTGTGGAAGGGCCACCCGCACTTCTTCGGTGATTTCAATGTGCTGCCTGGCAAGATTACCGGGTGGGAGAAACAGAAGAGACCAAAAACGGACACAGAAAGTTCTCTATCACTTCCTCTCAAACAATATACAAGAGTGTAACTTCCACAGTGAGCAGAAATGATCTTAGGGGATAGGAAGTGAGAGGGGAGGAAGTGAAGAGTTTTTCAAGAAATATGATTTGCCCACTTGAAGGACATATTCACTTGAACTACATACTTCCTTCCCCATGCCAACCTCGCCATCTTAAGTTCACTTCTTTTAATGGAAGAGACATCAGAGGAAAAGTTGGTAGGTATTTAAAATAGATACATTTGCTTATTATGAAAGATTTTGGAAAGACCGGGGGAAAAAACAAGCAAGTTCTATAGTTCCCTTATTACTGATTTGTTGAATGAGGCTAAGCTACATAGAAACAAACATCCTTGTATTAAATAATTATCACTTAATTTTGCTCTTCGAGATTCTATCTTTGCTTTGTTAATCAACATATACATTATTTTACCTTTCTCTTTCAGACTTTATTTTATGCATGTTTGTGTATATGTTATAATCGCTGGTGAAATGAAACAGGAACAAATAATATGAATTAAAATGAAATCAAAACAAAACCATGAAGTACTTACACAAAATCTGGTAGTTTTTTAACATAAACATTGATTTGCATTCGTTTGGCTGCTTGTACGAGTGTCCCTGTCAACTGTGGGAGGAGAAAAGAAGTCCGATGTAAATGTTTGGAATTGTTTTATTTACATTCTTTTTTCCTTTTCTTATTTCAAATGACAGTCTTATAAATTCCATACAGATTTTGTGTGTGGGGAGAATGCAAGGTGACTCTACCTTAGGATCAAATTTCAGCTTGTGTAGACTGATAAACTGATAAATCTATACCACAAAACAAAGGGAAGGGAATAGTCAGATGCAATCCTTTCCCCCAAATCCAACAAGATTTATTTCCTCCCAGGACTTCAATCCTGTCCACAATACTCTGAGAGTAAGGTCCACAGAACGGAAGGGAATGTACACGATTGCACAGCAAATGTTAAAACTAGAGAAAATCCATCTGTCCCAGTGCATAATAATAAGCATGTGGAAGTAAAGAGTGCTGAGGACACAAAATAAAACCTAGAAATGCTAGATAAAGTTTGGTTCAAGTTGGCCCCCTTACAGAATCAGAAATCAAAGTATGAAGTGGGTTTCCAAGTTCAGTTTGCAGGGAAGCTAGGATTTCATGATCACCACAAAGCTGCATCTCAAGTCAGTCTTACCTAGAGGAGGCCTACAGAAATGAACAGTACAGAATATCTGAATCCCTATTTATCCCAACCAGTTTGCTTCTAGGTAGGCTTAAATGTTGATTTTAGTCGACAGTTTGCAATGTTCAGATGTCAAAACACTAGGGCTTCTGCAAACCAAGAAGTGGAGAGAACCAGAAAATGAAGGAAGCTGGATGGGCATGGAGGAACATAGTTGCTAGGCTCAGAGGGTGACGTTCCAGACAGCCAAAATGTAATTCCTCAACTGGACCTCTCCAAAATAAGGGGGTTCTCGTAGCCAAAAACAGAGGTGGGCATGCTTACTGGGTTAAGATCCAGAAATGTCTCGTGATCCTCCTTCTTTGGATGCATGCCATCAATGTCCTTAACATACCTCTCATCTGACTCGTAGAAATGTGGAGGAGATAAAAATATAGGTGCCCCTGTAAGAACAAAAAAGACAACTTTAAAAAAATGAACCCATACTTTGTCATGAACTTAAATTTGAAAAAAAAAATGGCTCCAGGTACAGATGTCGTTTGACACAGCTTGACGGCACACGACTATTATTAGCGTTAAGCCTAACACTCGGTATTTATATAATCCATTGCAAGGATTTTTAGTCTTCACATTTCCTCAGGGCTGTACACTACAGAATACCACACATACACAGTGACACAATACCTTAGCATTGCATTCAAGACCTCTTTCTCTTTTAAATCTCACTGCACAAGAGATGGGGAAGTTTAAACCTTTGCTCTAGCGAGCTGTTCCCTTCTAAGACTCTAAGTGAGTCCCTAAGTGTCACTGGGATGTGTGTCATGCGCTCCCTGTGTGTGTCATTATTTCAATGACAAGGAACACAGAGAGGTACAGTATTTTTGGCAGCTCCTTCAGTTTTACATCTCTCTTTCCCCAGAGAAAAGCAATCCAGAGTTACCTTTCAGTACTACGCCCCTCCATAACATCTGAACATGCGATCTGTGATGGGGAGGAGTATTCTGGACAGGGTTCAAGATTCTGGGGGGAAAAGCCCCCAAACAGAACAGAATTTGCACCGCAGCTCACGTACCTTCTTTGCAGCCACTGATATTCAGGAGTCCTGCTCCTGGGCAGTTTCCGGCTGGCACACAAAACCCAGCGTTGTCTGGGTTAACAGAAGCATTGGCATAGAATTTCTTGGGAGGCACAAAGCGGTAGGCTGGGATCCCCTCCACTGTCACATACTTCTCAAAGTTTAGGTACAAAGACCTTGGAAAGAAAATAAAAAGAGCCACTGTGCTCTTCTCTTAAACACGCGAAAACTGTCGTTATGCTATTCTCTTACACACACAATATTCTTTATGACTACCCACTATTACAACAGGTGTAGCAAATGTGCAGAGAAGAGGTGGATTGTATTACACTCCACTGAAATCTGCAAGGCACTGCTGCCTTCTGTAGTGAACCCTCAGGGTGACAGCTTAGGGCAACAGGGCATGATTTCCTCTCCACTGCCACATTTTGCTCTCCAGGCCTCCTACTTTACTCGCTGAGATCCCTTCCACCAACGCTCCATCCTCCTGAAAAAGATACTCATTTTTCCCAGCACATGGAGAGGAATTCGAGCAAGCTGGAGGTCTAAGAACAGACTTCCTGGAACACCAACGTGCCAGGTTTCTCCTCTGGGGAACTGCTTAGCAGCAGGAAACCATCAAGATTCCTTCCTACCTGCCTCAGTGTGTGGTACAAATGAGAAATAAGAGGTGTGCCTTTAAGCCCCGCATCCCAAAAAGGTTGCTCTGGATGGCACAGGTCTTGTAAGCCCTGACACCTCTCCGAGAGCATTCCTTTGGCAATAAAAGGCACCTGATTCAACTTATAGACAGGGCACTAATTCCCCTTGCCAGTCGATTGAATGGTCAGGTTAGGGCTATTCATTGCATACATTTCCAAGCAGGCGGCCATATTCATCCTCTGCCCTATGGTTGCTCTAGGAAAACCTTTAAAAACTAACAAGTTTGACTTAGTGTGAGCTTTTGTGGTCTACACCCTGCTTCTTCGGGGGTCTTCGGCTGAACAAGAGTACATCAAGAAGTTCAGCTGTCTGGCTTGGCCTGAATAGAAGCAAAGACTTTTTGATGTTACTACATCTATTAACCAGCCAACCAATGCAGGTTCATCGGTGCTACCATCATTGGCGCTCCAAATCAGGTGTGTTTTGTAACAGCTTGGACAATACAGTACTCTATTTCTGCACCTCTACTTCCACTAGCTCATCTAATTTAACTCCGCACCTCCTGTGGACATCTCTTCCTACAGATGCTTAGAAGGACTTTCTCCCCATCATCTAAGTGTTGATCCATTGCTCATACTTAAATAAACACCCTTCAAATACCTCCACTGAGATATGAACCTATCACCCCCCCCCAAAGGACTTTGAACCATGCTTCCCAATGCTATCATCACAATGCTGGAACTTCTGCCATTTCCCTCCTCTCCGTGCTTGCATAAATTTCTGTTCACAGCAACTGCATTCCATGCAGAAACCACAAAAGTTTACATCCTTGTTAGTTTTAAAGATGCGATTTTTTTGGGGGGGGGGGCTGAAATTAGGACCAGGAAGATACATATTCACATCCCCAGGTTTCAACATAGTAATCGGTGCTTAAACTAAAATATCTTGGGGCTAAAATGACATAGGCAAAGGGAACTGAAATGTATTGTGTGGTAGGTGTGGGATTTTCAGAATTCATGAACTACAGTGTGGGAATCTCTCAGCCAGACTTCTGGAGGCTTTAATTAAGAAATGAAAGTCCTGACCGTTGTTTTTGAGTTCTTAAGCTAATGAAACTGGACTCTGGGAACCATTTTATTTCAGTGGAGGAGTCAGGAAAATGGGTAGGCAAGGCTGAGCTCCATGGGAGCTACAAGGAATTATGGACCTGGTATTTCTCCTGGTGATCCTTTCTATGCAGAGCCTAATGGGAAGAGACTTCCACATCCATAAGCATTTGCAACTCCCACAGAGACTAGCCCTGCCTATCCATTTCTCTGTTTTCTCCACTGGATGAAAATGGCTGTCGGAGTCTGAATTCATTAGCTCAAGAAGTTGAAAATACTTGTCAGGGCTTTGTTTTCTTGATTAAAGCCTTAAGGAGTCTGGCTTGGGGAATTTCTGCAGATATCTGGAGGGGTATAGTCCATAAATTCCAAAAATCCCATGCTGACTGTGTGACTCATTTATAGAAGACAGATCTTCCAATTACGTAACTCTCTTGCTCTGATTAGCCTAACGATCACTGTTTGATGACAGTTACTCAAATAGGACCAAAAAAATGGAGGCAGTTTGAGCGGACAAAGGCTTTATAGTTAAATCACCTGTATTACCATATTATGAGCTGTAAACATTTGGAGAGAAAAAATTGGCCCGATATAGGTTCTTTGCTAGATCCAATCTCATGTTTCAAAACAGCAAAAGATTTCTTAGCATCATGGCTCTACTTGAGGAGGACACAAATTCCACAGCAAAGTGAAGTATGGAATTTGAAATTAAAGTACACCACAAAGAAAGTAAATCAACTTACTGAGCTGTGAAATGCAGTGGACATTACTCATTGAAGTCCACAGCTAAAATGGGCTTGTACTCTGTACAAATTATCAGGGCAGTTTGGATCATTCTTACCTGCAGAAATCTGAGGAAAAGACGTAGATGGTTTCATCTTTGTCTATCAACGGGTGGAAGGTAGAACCATCGGTTCCATTGATCATGTTACTTGTTGGCGATGTCCACCAGTTTAGTGATCTGTAGGGAGAAAAGAGAGCCGGGCGGGGGGGGGGTAGAGGAATATTAGGAGATTTCCAATGTACAGTATACAAAATAAATATTTTTACAACAGCATAATATGAAGCAGATTATGCCTACTACTTCTCAGAGGCCACCCTCTCTGTCCTACCACATCTTGTGTTTAAGTCCATCCCAAATGGAAACCTCGCCTGTGAAACAAATGATAGTGACACCATGGCAGTAGCAGTTATGATGCTGGACAGGGACTTTAGAGATCCAGGTTCAAGTTCTCACCAAGCCACGACAATCACGTGACCCTGGATCAATCATCCACTCCCAGTCTGACCTGACTCACAGGATTGTCTTAAAATAAAATGAGAAGCAGGAGAACCCTACAAATTATCCAGTATGAATGGAATTAATAAAACATGTCATTAATAAATCACATTCTTTATCTAAACTACTGCATTACTACAATACATTATCTTATCAGTAAATCAATAAATACATATACAGTAAATAAAACAAATGATGTAATGTTTAAGAAGAGGCCCACCACTACATCTCTGCCTTTTTATTAATCAGTAAGAGGCACGTGCTACATTTCTCACTGAAACTGAAGTGTACGTGGAAGAGGTTCGCTCCTTCCCTTCTCAGGTATGATGCTCTCGAATCTCTAACCCTTTCCCCTGAACAATTAAGGTGATTAGGGAAAAGATTTCTCAGTGACAATGATTTGTGAATTTGTAACAAATGGCTTGATATGTGGATTTGTTGTTGTTGTTTAGTCGTTAAATCGTGTCTGACTCTTTGTGACCCCATGGACCAGAGCATGCCAGGCCCTCCTGGCTTCCACTGCCTCCCAGAGTTGGGTCAAATTCATGTTGGTAGCTTCAATGAC